CTAGCAACTAAGGTAAAGCTTCCACCTTTTTTCTATTTTCCGATTAATTCCAGTAGATAAACGCAAAACCTCTTTGACTAACCCACTGTCCCTGGTCTTTGCTACAAGGTAATAAATCGGAGAAATCCTCAACAGCAACCACATACAATCAACTTTATCCACGGACCTTGATAGACACCAGCGCCTTCTCTAATGTCTTCTCAGATACGCTCTTTGTTAGGATATCAGCTAGATTTAGGCTAGTATGAACCTTCACAACTGAAACACTTCCATCTGCAATAACATCTCTGATGAAGTTGAATTTCCTGTGAATATGTTTAGTTATCTGATGATATCCACCATTCTTTGCTAGAAATATTGCAGACTGAGAATCGCAATTTACTTTTACTGCTCCTTGATCATGATTTAGATCTTCACACACCCCTTTAAGCCACAGTGCTTCCTTAGCTCCTTCAGTTAATGACATATATTTTGATTCAGTAGTTGATAAGGCCACGATAGGTTGGATCCTTGATCTCCAACTGATAGTGTTGCTGCCTACTTGAAACAAATACCCTGTAACTGATTTGCTTATGTCACGATCAGATGCAAAATCTGCATCGCAGTAACCCTCCACCTTGAACTTTGTACCCTTTAGTAAACCACAACCCATAATCTGTAGTCCCTCTCACATACCTCAACACTCATTTCACTGCTTCCCAGTGTTCTCTTCCTGGATTTCCCATAAATCTGCTAACAACTCCAATAGCATGAGCGATGTCTGGACGTGTTCCTACCATAGCGTACATTAAACTCCCAACGGCGCTTGCGTATGGAACATCAACCATGAAGTTTGCTTCTATCGGTGTTTCCTTTTCATCTAAGCTCTTCAATCTGAATTGAGATCCCATAGGAGTAGTTACAGCTTTGCAATATGTCATGTTGAAGGTTAAGAGTACCCGTTCAAGGTATTTTCCCTAAGATAGTTTCAGAGTACCAGCTTTCATGTCCCTGATTATATCCATTCCTAGAATCCTTGTAGCAGCTCCAAGATCTTTCATCTCAAATTCACTACTCAGTCTAGCTTTCAGTTCCTTGATCACTCCCATATCCTTAGATACCACCAGCATATCATCAACATATAACAGTACATAGACCCTTGAAGACATTTCTGCCCCCACTGATGTAGACACACTGATCATAATGACATCTTCTAAATCCATGTTCCTTCATGAACCCATCAAACCGTTTATTCCACTGCCTTGGCGACTGCTTAAGACCATATATCTTTAGCAAACAAACCAAATCTTCTTTTCCCTTAGCGATAAAACCTTCAGGTTGTTCCATATAGATTTCCTCCTCTAGAGTTTCGTTTAAGAAAGCTGTTTTAACATCTAGTTGCTCTAGATATAAGTCTTCATTAACCACCAGTGACAGGATAAACCTGAACCTGATAGAGACATGTTTTACAACCAGAGCAAACACCTTGTTACAATCTATTCCTTCGACCCGTGAGTAACACTTAGCAACCAATCTGCCTTTAAAGCATGGATCCTCAACTCCTGGAATGTTTGGCGTCTTCTTGTAGACCCACTTACAACTGATAACCCTTTTCTTAGTAGGCCTTTTCACCAAATCCCAAGTCTCATTTATGTCAAACGAATCAATTTCTTCCTCACTAGCTGATCTCCACTGCTTTCTTTCCTTAGACCTCATAGCTTCCTGACAGGACTTAGGTTCATCGATTTCAATATCACTTTCCGCAGATAGAGCATAAGCTACTACATCAAAGTCATCATATTTAGATGGTAGCTTTGTCTCTCTGCGAGCCCTGTGTCTTGCCAGTATGTAGTGATTTAGATCATGTTCAATCAACTTCTTGGCTAGATGACTCTTCCCCTGAATCAGACTCTACTCCACCTGAAACTGAACCCTTTGTTTGAGTTGAAAACCTTGAAGTAGAAGCCTCTGAATCATGTAACCCTTTAGATGGTCCCTTAATCAGATTAGAACTGAACGTGACTCGCTTCTTCTTCTCTTGCTCTACATTCTTCCCTTTATCAGCACTAGACCACTCTGCACATCCCCTGAATATGTTTCCTTCTGAGAATCTTTGTATACTTTTTCCTCATGAAAAATAACATTTCTCCTAATAGTACATTTCCCTTCTTTTGGTAGCCAAACCCTAAAACCCTTAGTTCCTTGAGGATATCCGACGAAGAAACCCTTAACCGCTCTAGGACTCGTCTTTGCCCCAACCTTGTAAACATAAGCAGCTGAACCAAACCTACTCAGATGCTTAAGCCATGGTTTAGACCCTGACCTCAACTCCTCAGGCAGCTTGTACTCGATAGCAGAACTAGGTGACTTGTTGATTAAGTAGACCGCAGTAGAAGCAGCTTCAGCCCAGAACTTTTCCTCCACACCACTCTCAGCCAACATACACCTTACCCTTTCCATGATGGTACGATTCATCCTCTCTAAAACCCCGTTCTGTTGCGGCGTATAGGCACATGTGCGGTGCCTCTTAATCCTTGCAGCTTTACAAAACTCATCAAACCTTCGGTTACAATACTCCAATCCGTTATCTGCCCTCAAACACTTTAGCTTTTTTCCCGTCTGAGTTTCAACCTTTACTTTCCACTCCTTGAATTTATCAAAGGCTTCATCCTTAGTCTTGAGAAAGTAGATCCACACCTTCCTTGAATAGTCATCGATAAACGTGATGAAGTATTGCTTCTCAGCCAACTCGGAACTACAGTAGGAGCTCCCCATATGTCTGAATGAACATAATCCAGAGTTTCTTTGGAAGTGTGTTTTCCTTTTTTAAAACTCTGTTTATGTGCCTTCCCAACACGCAATCTTCACAAAACCCTAGCGTATCGATGTCCTTGGCTTCTAGATATCCTTCTTTGACTAGTAAATCGAGCCTTTTCTGACTTATATGTCCCAATCTAGAATGCCATTTTTTTGGTTGCACTGACTTTAGGAACTGCTCAGTGACCCTCACCTTTTAGAATAGTCCCTTCCAAGTAACACAAGCCATCTGCATACTTTCCCGTTAGAACTTCATTTCCATCTTTGAACAACTTCATTATGTATCCTCCTCTTTCGTAAGTGCAGCCTACTTTCTCCAAACGTCCATATGATAGTAAGTTTCTGCCCATTGTAGGCATGAACGTTACATCAGTAAGGATCACGATAGAGCCGTCTTTCCATTTTATACGAACCTTCCCAACCCCTTTTATCTCACTGAAGGTATTATTCCCCGTCAACACTTTCCCTCCACTCGCTTCCTTAAGATCAAACAAAGCCTCCTTGTTTGGAGTAATATGAAAGCTCGCTCCTGAGTCCAAGACCCACTCATCCCGAGTGTCTTGGATACTTGCAGTGAGTATTAGAGGTTCCTTTTTCGCGCTTTTAGCTGATGCAACGTTCACTGAGCTAGAGCTGGAACCTTTAAACTTTCCCTTATCGGGACTCTCTCTCTCTCTCTTACAATGCCCTTTTATTCCGAAGATGAAGCAACCTTTGTTGTTCTTGCTGGACTTAGACTTAGAATAATCTTTACATCTAGACTTAGACCTTCCCCTTGAGAAATTACTTCTTCTATCAGATCTTCCCCGTTCTCCTACATACAACCCTTCAGCATCAGACTTGGACTTTTTGAGGGAGCCTTTCTCTCTTAGTTCAGTCTCCTTTGGATATGCTGCAGATATCACATCATTAACCGTAAGTATATCCTTCCCACTGCCATACTTTAGAGTGCAGACCAATGGTTCATACTTAGGAGGTACACCGGTAAGGATCTGTCTAGCCTGGTCTTCATCAGAAATTTTGATTTCTAAGCTCTCTAGGTAATTCACCAGCTTCAAAGAAAACATCAAGGTTTTGCTCAATAGACTTCCGTTCATCCATCTTGTAGCTAGCAAATCTTTGCTTAAGATAGATCCGGTTAGGAAGAGATTTAGTTTGATAATCCCTTTCCAACGCCTTCCATATGCCAAGCGTTGAGGTCTCCTTCATCACCTTCCTTATGATCTGGTCAATCAGACTCAGTTGGATCAAACTACGAACTCGGTTATCTTTCATAGCTCGCTTAGGATCAACTTTAGCCTCATTACTTGACTCAGTCTTCTCGCCATCGCTATATGTTTCTGTTGCTTCCTCAAGAACAGAATCCAGACCTTGAATCTCAAGAGCACAATACATCTTGTGCTTCCAAATGCCGAAATCTCCAGATCCATCGAACTTCTCAACTTCGAAACGACCTTTTGTAGGTTCCATATTATTAATGCAGATTGACCAGATCCAGAACAATATATGAATTAACAAGCACTTCAAGATTCAAGTAACAACTTCTACACCACAGAGAATCATATAAGTTTTGAACCTTACACTGATCTTCCTTCTTTGTAGATCCGGCTTCTTGACTTGTTGAGAGAAACTTAGATATGAAAGTATCACGAGTATCAGCTTGAACCTTGAGCTCTGATACCATTTGTTACAATTTGAACTCGTATACTTCTCAATCGATTTTGGTTTGATGATTGTTGTTTAGCAATTAAACATAAATGCAAAGAGAGTTTGTTTACCTAGTTCGCTGTTGCTACGTCTGGGGAGGGGGGGGGCTCTTGCTCCTTAATCCACTAAGATTTAGATTGTGATTTAAAATATAAGCTCATACAAGATTCTATCACACATTAACTTTGAATCTTGTTGTTTCAGGATGCGATCGGATCTCACGATGAAGAACACTCGAAACCGAGTCACGGGAAAGCACCTCTGCAACTTAGCACTCGCCAGAGAAGATGATCTATTTCTCTACTTCGACGAATAGAGAAAGCAGAAAGCAAAGGAGAAGACACAGTTGTTATAACCGTAACTGACAGGACGACGACGTTCTGTTTAAAAATCCATCCGAGTGGGCTCAACTCAAGTCACCGGCCCAATTACTTCCCGAGGCCCATATGATCAGATCCATAGAGTTGGATTGGGTTTGTACACAAAGGCCCGCACTAATGTCGTTTTCTCGTTTATTCTCTTTGTTCTCTAATAACATTTCTGGACAAGCAGAGCAACAGGAGAAGTCTGGTAAAAAAAGTTGCATTATTTTGGTCGACTTGCCACATATCTGCTTTTTATAGCGTCTGAATATGTTTTTGTTTGTTTGTTTTTGTTTTCAGAGTTTCATGAACATGAAGAGTTGATAGCGCTTATAGGTATGTACTCTCTGCGTGTCACAATTGAAACTCGTATCCTATCTATGCTACCAAGTGGCCACACCAAAAGAATGAGAAGTCTTGCTCTTTCTCCTTCAACCCGTGATCTTTTTGCTACAAGTTCCTTGATTTTAAGAACGTATCAAGTTCTTGGATCTTCATTTGACAGCATGTTCATGACTTCATCTATCACCGTGATAAGTCGGCAAACTTTACTTTGGCTTATATTTGTCAACACGCCTTCAAAGATAGTGTTTGTACAATGTTAACTACACTATGAACCCAACTCTTTTCAAGACTTGTTTTCATGAGATTGTTAATTTATATTTTATTGAAATTTCGTTTCCACCATTGAGCAGGTCCTCAGCTACTCTGTTTAAGACAACTAATGGGTTTATACTGTTACTGAGGTTAGTTATATGTTCATAGTTATATGTTCATAGTTATATGTTCATATCAGTTGGATCTTTGTTTCATATGCAGACTTGCGAGTCAAAATTTCTAAAGGACAAGCCTTATAGCAAGGGTCTCAGCAACAGAAATCATGTTTACGCCTTGGGATGATCCTTGTTTCATCACAGGTGGGTGTGACCATGCAGTTGTGTTATGGCGTGAATAATCTGATAATAACGCATGGAAGTCAAGGCTTCTGCACAAGGACTTGCACACTTCAGCCGTGATGGGAGTAGCTGTCGATCAAAGCTCATAAGAAAAGAGTGTTCAAAGCTGAGTGGCACTCTTCTAAACAGCTGCTTGTCTCCATCTCATCAGATTTAGAATTCGGGATTCACAAGCTGTGGTGAAAGCTGTTAAAACAACCTAAGTATTGCAATTGACCACATGAGCGAAGTTGGTGTTATCGATCCGAAAGTGAGGCTTGATCACATGACTCACGCTGGATACAAAAACTGTAATGGAAGTTGAGTAGTTTCAGTCCAGGGTCTCAAGACACTGGCATGTTTAACATTTTTTGGTACATGTGATGTTGATAAAAGCAGAAATATTGTAGCTTTTTATTCATCATTTTTGTCACATTTTGCGGGTATTACAGCGTAACAAGTTGGAGCCAGTCTAATCTTATGTCCCTAATCCTCAACCATTGTGGTCTATATTTAGTATGAAGAATAAATAGTACAACGTCCATATTGGATTTCTAGTCCAAAAATTTCAATTTCAAAAATCTACCTACTCAAACTACAAACCACTATTGTACCAAGAACCGGTTACAAAAAAATTAACCGTATTGGGTTCAACTAAAAAAAAGAACCGGTATTGTCTTTGTGTGATTTTCAATCCTAAAAATTACTTGAGTCACACGGCTTCTTATTCGAATTTATATTGACTTGTTCCTTTTCTTTTACACCAGTACGAGACAACGTGACACACGGTTGTAGACGTACCCTTCTTCGCGTAACTTACAAAATTAGATACTCTCGATCATTGCTGAGAATAATGGGAGATAGAAAAAGAAGAGACAGAGGAGAGAAAGATCATGGGAGGAGAGGAGAAAATCGTAGGATAGAAGATTTTATTAGAGATTTATGGTAGATTTAGTGTAGATTTAGAAACTAATCACAAAAAAATATGGAAGTTTTCATATATTCTACTTAGAGAAGAACATTGAAGAGAGGATAAGATGTTTATTCTGCCATACGCATATGATAACGTAAAAAGTAGAAAATTTTATGACATATAAAAAAAGGTAATCCACCGAGTCCATGTTATAACTCGTAATAATGCTAAAAGTAGACTAAATACATTTTGTTAGAATATCATAGGACAAAATCTAGCTAAGATAGAATATATAATAAAATTTTGTTTGTAATCTATACCTAAGATAGATCTATATGTAGAGCTTACTATCCAATTTCTAGACTATATAGGTAGCTAGAATAAGTATTATATCCATGCTAGAACATAAAATAAAACATTATTCCACATTTTAAAAAAAAAAATTAAACATGTTAAATATTCATACTAATGTTTTCAATGATTTTCAGATTTTTTTAAATTTTAAAAACTTAGTTTACTATTTTTCCCATTATAGAAGAGTAAAACCTATCCAAATTGTCCAAAAGTATCAAAAGTCTTATTTCGACAAACAAAAATTGAGAGTGTTTCTTTTTTCTAATTCTCCCTTCAATAAATTTATATTCTCTTAATTGGTAAATTTGTAAGCTTTCAAGTTTTAACTTATCCAGGTAAACAACCAAATACTCATTGTTGTTTCATTCAACTTTCTTAAACCAATTAAAATTACAGTAAAAAATCAATAAAATAATACTCGGTAAATTACTTAAAGAAAATAATATGATAAATTCACAAATTATGTTAGTCTTAGACTGGAATAGTATAAAATATGGAAAAGGAAATCGATAAGATAATAAATTTTTAAAAGTCATATATACATATATAGTCCGAAACATATATTGATAATTAAAAGAATGTGAAGTTTATATATATATATATATATATATATATATATTGTATAGTTGTTTTTTTCACAATGAAGTATACTTTTAACATTTAGATGTTTTTTTGTCAACCCATTCATATCATTGAAATGAAAGCCCAATGGTTGATTCCCATCCGATGAAGAAAAAGAAGTTGACTAACAAATTAAAACATAAATTTTAGGATTGAACAGAATAAAAATAAGCAAAGAGAAGAGAAGCCCGAACTGGTTCAGAAAAACCAGACTTTATTATTCAACATGAATTGGAGAAGAGATAAAACCATGAAGAACAACTCCGATTCGTGTTGAAACACAACATAAAAAACTAGCCTAGCGAAGAAGAAAATCCGCGAACTGAAGACATAAGATCGAAGTTAATGTATTACATCAAAACAAAACATATCTCTTGCTTCTTCTGAAGGATTTGATTGTGTGAAGAGGAAAGGGAAAAAAAAGTTCTCTTTCTCTAAAAATATTTTTATGTTATTTTATCATTTTACATGTAATATGTATTCAATATATATCTTCTATACACTAAATAATCGAATAAAAAGAACATAAATTTTGTCTCTATAAAAATAATCAATATATACTATAAAATCATCTGGGACCTTGTGATTGAGTGGTAAGAACATGAGTTTGAGATGCCAACACATTTCAGGTTCAGTTGACATGTTATATGAAAATATATGTCACATTATTTATGAATATCCACACACACACACATATATATATATCCCTTATATATTAAAGTAGAAACATTTAAAAAATTGTAACCTCAATTTTGTAATAATTAAAAAAGACCTCATGCTTAGGTGTCACTCAATTAGATAGTCAATTACATTCAATTGAAAAATAAGTAGGTCCACATTCGATTTTTATATGTCGATAGATACATTCGTTGGTCAAATTATATAATATGATGATATGATATGACATCTTTGATAGAAGCATTTATGATTGTTCCCTTAGATATAATTACTACTAGGTGATTTTTCCGTGCTCATGCACGGTATGAATATTCATAAAATTAAAATTTTATAATACTTGATTGATATTTAGTTTCAATTTTGAATCAATTTATAGAAATAATTTATATTAATAAATACTATATTATTCTAATTATGAATATGACTTTGGGTATATTATTGTCGGTTTAATTATTTTTTTGGATCAATAGTCAGTTTGTTTATGAATTTGGTATATTAGATAATATCTATTTTCAAATTCATCTATAATATTTTTTATTTTAAATATAATAAAACTTTGATTAATTTACTTATTTTCATTTCGGTTGGTTATTATCTTAGATGTGTAAATATATTATACTTAAATTATGTATAATTTAATATATATTGTGCTTAAAACAAAATAAATAATAAGCTGAAGTGTTCGATTTAAATTTACGTAAATGAATATAATGATAATATCTTGAAGTCTCATGAATATATATAAATTCTACAAAAGAACTAAATTGTAATTGGTTAATATTTTATTTTTCTTTTTAATATTTTTTGAGTCAACCTCTAATTTATATGTACAAAATTAAATAGATTATTATTATTTTTATTATTATTATTATAAAATTATATGTTCTTATTGTAGTTAGATGTTTAATTTTGGATATAAATTAGATTAGTCAAGTCATTCATGTTGTGACTATATTGAGTTAAATATACTTTTAAATTAAAATTGAAGTATAATTACTTTTTATTTTAGTTAAGTCAAATCAAATTAGTTATATTTAACGCTTAAGTATATATGTATTTTTATAATATTTATTTACTCTTTAATTAGTTAAGTGAAATCAAATTAGTTTTATTTATCGCTTAAATATACATCTATTTTCATAATATTTAACAAATTATATGTTTATTTCTAAAAATATTAAAAAAATAAAGTGTAACTGATAAATTTTTGGATGTTCATGAACATATATATTTGAAAATATATTTTATGTTATTTAAAATATATAATAAATATTTGATAACAGTTTATATATCCTCCATCATTTTTCTTTAATTTTATATTATTAAAATAAATTGAACAATCAAATTAGCTATAAAATTAAACTTTAGATTTTTTCGTATAGGTTATATTTTGAATTTAAAAAAACGAGAATAAATAACTAAACCATTAAAATTATTATTTTAAAAATTAATGATCAATAGTTTAACATTTTTATTATAAAAAGATATACATGATTTTAAAACCATATAAGTAAAAAGTATCATTCAATAATAAAACAAATATATATACAAATTAAACTATATATCATATAAGATTACATAAATATTTTAATTTCAAAATCCTCAATAAATTTTCAAGAACATTTATAAATTATAAAATTATTAAATTTTTCACATTGAAAATTTTTGTTATCAATGATTTAAATATCTTAGTTCTTTTTTTAATTTTATATTTTTAAAAAATATTAACAATCGATAATATGGTTATTTTTGGTATATACCATACAAACCGAATGGATGTGATTTTATAAAAACCATAGGATTTGGATATGGTTTGATTTATAACCTATTAAACTGAAACATGTAAATATCTATATATTTATAACGACGCATGAATATCTATTTGTTACATGAGTTGAACTATAATTATAATTTGTAAATAGCTAACAATTTATTACAACTTAGACTTCTTATTTTGATCTTTTGCTTTTTTAACAGTAACTAAATTGAAGTAAAAAATTATAAATTTGATGGACAACAATTAGTTGAAATTCTTTACAACTTTTTTTTATCTTTAAACAAACAGAGTTGTTTTGACCCAAAAAAAAAAAAAAAAACAAAGTTGTGTTCAATCGAAGACATATTGGTTTGATGAACACAAAATATGGAAGAATATAAAAACCTTTATTTCATGCTTCTGTTTTGTTTTTTATTTTTATTTTCAATATTTAGTGTTTTTTTGAACTTATATTTTCAATATTTAGTGTTTTGATATTAATTCTAAATTTGATCATTTTATTAGATGATAGAAGCCTTTTTGTTTTTATTCTTTTATTTAAATATATAATATTTTTTTAATAAATGACTCTATGACAATATGACTCTAAATATGATCATATTATATATTTTTATAATATATA